TTGGACTTACATGCTCTTTGCTTGGAGACCCAGTTTCCATCACTGATAACCAATGACTGAGCAGGCTGCTCAATGCCTATGCTGTTATTTTCTCATCTGAGAAGTGGGGATACAATTCTATGATATAGATGAGAGACTTCTGAGGATTAATGAAGTAATGCATATGAAGTGTTTGGCATATCTGGGGCAAGGGCTTTAATAAAGTTTTATTATTAATATGAGTGGAATATGGCTCCAACTGCTAAGTGGAAAACAAACTTTGAAGCCAAAGACCCTGTATAGGAAGCACTGTAAACCAGACATGAGGAGGTAAGAACTTGGAATAAGATGGAGGCTATCAAAAATGAAGCAGAATTCTGAGATACTAAAAAATAAAATTTGACCACTTCTTAACTACTGTCTCCTTCAATTATTCTACATACCAGGATGCACAGATATTTAAGCAAGAAATAGATTAAAAAAATCAATAATATACTCAGATGCTGGTAAGTATGGTGGAGAAAAACAGAGAGAGCTGGGGGAGTGGCTCAAGTGGTAGAGTGCCTACCTAGCAAGCACAAAGCTCTGAGTTTAAACCCCAGTACCACTAAACAAACGAAAAATGGAAAGAAGCTAGAGCATGAGAATTTGGGAGCGTGCTGACATTCCACCTCAGCTCTGAGGAAGAAGTGAGAAGACTAACCCTGAGGTTAAAGCAGACAAATGGCAGGGGCCAAGTAGTGTGGCAGAGTGGTAGGGCAGAAGACAGTATGGTTAGTTTGACAGGGCCTGACAGGCCATCGTAGGTTTAGATAACTAGCTGGTGATGGGCTGATGGGAAATGGGCATAGACAGGAAAGGAAGTAAACACTTTTCCTGGAAGTAGAGTTCAAGAAGAGTGTCTAGAGAACAATACTTAAGGAATAGGCACCGACCCCTTTCCCTTTTGGAAACTTCTGTAGAGCCAAGACCAGAGCAGACACCCAGTAGTTGTTGGGCAGAAGCTCTGATTCATGCCCTGGTTCAAGACCCCACTTTAAGGGACAATCTTTCTCTAGTGAGACAGTACAGACCCAGGCAATCATCAGCGATCTTTAACGACATTCAGGAGGCTTAAAAGTTTTCTTTCCTCATTTCCAGCCACTGTCAGATAGCTGAAAAAATCTTAACCCTGTATAAAAAAAGTTAAGAGCTCAAAAATGTTCCCAGAGGTGAGAGTTCTCTATCCCAACAGACAAACGGTTCTCCACCATGACTGGTTTTAGTGAAACTGTGTAAGTTTTATAGGTAGAGCAGTGGGAAACACTTCTTAGAGGTGAGATAGTGAGGAGAAAGGGGTACGAGAGGGGCAAGAAGACAAGGGATGCAGTTAGCAGGTAGGCTGGAGTCCTGACTGGCATGCTTGGCCTCCAGAGGGTTTTCTGGCAGGCTACACAGACAGGTTTGGTTTTTAAAAGTGCCAGAAAGCCACAGATTTGCATGTTATTTGCGTTCCAGGCTTCACTTCCAGGTATGTGGAATGAAATGAATGAATGAACAGTATTCAGACTCCTGGTTAAGGGGTGGACTCAGAAATCCAGACCACACTGAGGATCCAATCACTGGTCCAGATTGGATCAGGAGACACAGGCACAGTGACAGAACAAATAGTCACAGAGACAGAGACAGTCTGAGATACAAACATCATTGAGTCCTTTTTACCAGGGAATTTCCAGTCAAAGGAAGGAAGCAAAATCCAGAGACTTATTTTAAATAAACTAACTTTTAAAAAACTAAGGAGAGTTTAGATAAAGGCAACATCATCCCTGACTTACTTCCATCTGTGATCTGTTATCCCCCACTTTCAGCTTCATTCTAACTATGTGCCTGTGAATCTGCCTTCTTGATAAGGTATATTGTTGATGTCTGCCTAGCCTCCCAAATCAGGCAAACTATAGGCTCTATAGACTACAAGACCCTGATGACAAAATGGCTTTTATTTCCCTGGTGAAACCATCTCTTCCTTCCACCCTTCAGGGACCCCAAGGCCAAAGCTTAAACCCATGGTTATGAAACACCTAGCCTAAGGGATTCCCTGTAAGTTTCAGGTAAGGGAAGTGCCTTTAAAGGGCAAGACAGAAAGGGACCAAAGTCTCAATGTGAAAGGCATGTAAAATGTCATTAGCAATAAAAAGGATGGAGAAAATAATATTTTGGAGAAAGAGGTGTGGCTAGAAAAAAATGCTCTAATATGCCTCTTGGGATAGAGTCAGAAGTCCCAAAGGACAGCATGTGGAACTGCTGAGGAAGGTGTATCTGTCAAGGACACAGTAGGGCACTGAATGTGTGAGTGGAGATGGTTGAAGGCTACCATAAGCAGCCCTTTTTTTCCTATCTTCCAATGTTGTTTTAAATAAATGTTTAATAGAGCGAGCCCTACCCTATCTCTGACAGATCAGAAAGCAATAGCTTACACTCCTGGTCTGAAAAGAGCACCAGGTCATTCACCTGCCCTTAGTTGCTCCATATCTTGGTCCATTCCCGATATAAAAAACAAAACACAAAAAAAAACAAAAAAATGTACAAATATATGTACTGTAATATATTCAGCAATTATAAGGACTACAGATGTCCAGGTAAGAGATTTTAAGATAATGTGAGCAGGGAAGGGTTCAAGATGGGATTTGGGTGTATGAGCTCAGTAGGTATTTGTGAAAAGAGTAAAATACATTGAATGAGGAATGCCCAGCACAGTGGACTCTAGGCTCCTTGTGTGCCACTCTCTCAATTTCCTCTTCTAGCACTGTGTTCTGTAAAGCACAGGGCAACTTCCAGAAGTCAAATAATTGATGGCTACTCCTCAGCTTAGAAGGGAGAAAAGTCTACAGCTGGGTCTGTCACATTTAGTTAAGGCTCTGACATAGACCTTAACTCTAAAACCAAGCTAGTGTTAACCCAGCCTGCAACTTTAACTTCAGTCTCTACTTTGATAGCATCTTAGCCCTTAATTCCATTCCCAACATCTTAAGAATTTGATAAGCTCCTGGACATCTGTTCTAACCACTCACAGATCTAGAATTTTCTGCATCTGACAGGCCAGAGAGGCAGTTTACACTAACATTTCCTTAAGGTTCAAGTTCAACATCTTCTAGTTTCTCTTCTCTCACAGTGACATATGTCAGTTCTCCCTTATTTTAATGGGTGACCAGCATGACCTTCTACCCCTCTCTACTTCCAAAGTGGGGAATGGTGGTTACATAACAGTTGTTAGGGTTTAGCACAAGTGAAATAAGCCCAAGACTGTAAGGAAGCTCAGCGTTACTTGTCCCTTCCCAAATTTTGTGATGAATCTGAAGCTGTGGACACATAAGCTCAGCTGTAGCCTATTTGAGTTAACAAGACCTAAGTGCCTGAAGCTTCATTTTCTGACTTATTTGGTTATGTGATCTCCCAAACTGAAAGCATTTTGCTCCTTCTTGCATTGGCTCACCCAAGTACAGCAAGGGAAAAGACAAACCTAAAGCATCAGTCATCTGTTTTACTGACAAGACCTATTTTCAAAGCTGGAGGGACAGTATAGAAGGACCAAAGGCTAAGACATTAAAAACACTGGAGCTCTTTAACAAATCCTCTCCTTCTCTACCCACTAGAGCTTTTCATGGGTCATGTAAAACAAGGTGGTGATGGACAGACTGTGAGATGGCTTTGGTGGAAGTGTTTTCCCAAGTCATTTGTTTCTACCCTTGGACCACTAAAACCTAGTGTTCACAGTGCTGGACCAGAGGGTAGAGGTTGGTCCAGCACTGTGAACTGGGCTAAAGAATGGAGAAACTGATAGCACACAGAAATATGAAGACCTCATATACAAAGGAGTGAACTGACACCAGTCTCTAGGCTACACAAGGGAAAAATACTTAACATTTAACTTTACACAGGACTCCTAGGAGCAAGAGTGGGTTCCAGATGACAATTGGGATATAACTAGCCTCCACGCCTCATACCACCTCAAATGGGGAGAACAGTCTGTTTTTCTCTATACAGGGTCCAGGAATGATTATTGGGATTGTAGTTTCTGTTGAAGGCTCTTCTAGGGCAGTTAGTGCTTATTAACTCTCAAATATTTCTATTTTAGGGGAAGTAGGTGATTAAGAGCACAAAGTACACGGGAAATAATAGGCTTATTTAGTTTAAAGCAGGTTAAATGAAAAACTGGTAACATGCCCTTAGCCATGGAATGCAGAAACATCTTTTTCAGTTCTGGTCATCAAAAACTCATTCCTGAATTAAGGAAAAGTTCCCAGATACTACTCCTACTCTTTCTGGTTAACTCTCAGGGAAGAATGGCCACTGATATAAGTCTATACTTGGTTCCCATTGAGCCACCCTGGGCCACAGCTTGGCCCACTCTTACCAGATTTGGGATGGCAGTGTGGCCTTGGGATCACTAGCATCTACCTTGTTAAAAACAAAACAAAACAAAACAAAAACTGCATTAGAGAAATGGGGGCCAAGTTCAGACAGGCTCAACAATTCCTTATATATTTTGCAAAGTGCTTTTGTTGCATGTTTCATTTTCTGCTATACATGGCAATAAATATTTGTTGCTTTGGTCTGTACAAAAAGTCTCTGAGGAAGATAAGACAGATGTTATCTAAATGAACAAACAATAAATACAGAGAACTATCTTGTTATGAGGCCCCCCCAGACAATAGTGAGAGAGCCTAAAAAACTCAAGTCTTTTGATTCACAGTCCAAATTGACACCATATTGCCACCTTTCAAGTTGTCACTTAAATACAGTCAGTACCAAGAATCAGACAATATTCTAGGAGTCCTACAGTGAGTCTGCATGCCACAGCTTTCTAAAAGAGAATGTGAAAGGTTCTAGCAACTCATACATAGAAAGCTATTTATTTACTATAGAAAACATTGAGAGCGAGAGCAAAAGCGAGAGCAAAAGCGAGAGCGAGAGAGAGAGAGAGAGAGAGAGAGAGAGAGAGAGAGAGAGAGAGAAAAAAGGAGAGAGGGAGGGAGGGAGCAAGGAAGTAAAAACAAACACATAAAAGGTGGTCTTCCTCCAAAAAGCAGGCAGTTATGCGAAAGGTAGGACAACTGGTTGCTGGAGTGAAAACAGTAACATTCAGTTAACAATGGAATATTTAAAAAAAATAATTTTCTTTTCAAATTGTAACATGGTAAAACATAGAAAAATGTACTAAACAAGCTTGGTATAAAACAGAGTAGAATTTTCAAATAAGCCTAAGGAGAAAGCACAATGCTGGAAAGGATGGGGAACAAGGGGAGAGGAGAAAGGATTTTATACAAAACTACCTATTACAATACAGAAAAAAGTATAAAATGTTCCAATTTTGGAACTTAAGTACAAAATGACACTGGCATTGGATCATTTCACTATCTAAACCTTAGGAGCTCTCAAAGGGTGGGAGAAATGTTAGACAGAACAAAAGGAATAGAAGTTTTTATCTCAAGTTCATCAGTCCGTACACCACCCATTTTTCAGTTCAAAAATCTCCTATCTCTCGAAAACCTTTACCCCTAAGCCAAAGTTCATCCAGGCCTCAAAATAATTCTGTCAGGAAGTCCACAACACCCCATACATAGGGGCTGGGATCTCTGTGTGCTGGAATTTGGAAAATGAAAATAAATCTACAGGCTAAATGGTGAACACATTCAGTCTTTTTTTTTAAAAAGCATATTCCTGTGAAATATATATATATATATATATATGTATATATATTAAATTCTCTGTGGTCAGAAACATAGTTAAACTAACTAGCCACAGACCAACTAGACCTGTATTCATCCAAGGCTGGAATTTTATGTGAAGACTGAGGTCCTTCTTCTTCTTGGTCAGAAGTAGGCAACAGTCAAAGTGGGGTTTTGTTGCTCTACTGAACCCTCCCTGGGTGGGTCTTTCCATGGCATGTGCTGCTAGCACACTCAAACCCCTGCTCTTAAGGACTGCTTGCAACTTTGGGGTCTGCCCAGGGCTCATGTGCTGTGCCTCAGGATGGGATGAAGCCACCAATGAAAAAATAGCTTTGTAGAGAAGTACTTCGATTTTACACAGGGGCATATAAATAAGAAGGGTCCTGGAGGAGGGGGACTTATGCACATGCCCCAAAGTCTAGTTTATAGTCACATTCCTGACTATACATATTGAATATCATGTGTGCATGTATATGTGCATGTATTTGCTGGTGGTTTTGTCCCTACCTATTGCCCATACTCTTTCCTACTTCTTAGTAAGGCCTAGCAACAGAAGTTTGTATGAAACCAAGATTCTTTCCAAGCTTCCCTCAGTCCCCTAATTAGAAACTCAATGAGGCTGGAGCCCTTTGAAAACAAGATGGCAGAACTGAAGAAGTAAAAAAGCAGTCTTCTCTTCAACTTAGGGATGTCCCTCACCCCTTTCACAGCACCAAAGTTTCTTTGCAAAAATAGTATCTGAGATACAAAAGGAAAGGCAGATGTGCTTGTGAATGCATCTCGCCTGGGCCTGGTCCAGGATCAAGGGCTTTATAAGAACAGAGGGTTGGGAGCAGTTGTTTCCAAGGTCTCTGGCTGCAGACAACAAAGGGCTGGTCCCCAGTAGGGTCAATGTGTTCTCATTGAGACAGTCTTCACAAGAGCTTTCGATGGAGGATCTCCCAAACCATCCGCTTCCGGAAGTATGGCATGTGTTGCTGTAGGGACAAAGAGACACCCTTAATTTTCATTAGGCCCAATACTTATTTCCCCATACTCCTTTTCTTCTCGAGTTTGAATTAACAGTCTCAGTGATGTTTGTAGTCTTTCAAATTATTCATTCTTGATTACATGTGTTTTTCTTTCATTGCTTTTTTCTACTGCTATTTCTATTGCTATTTTCCATTACTGTAGCCTTAGAAGTTATGCATCATTAGGAGTCTCCAGGAGATGCCAAAATGTCTCCAAGAATTTTGAGAATGGTATCTCTCAAAGTCTTCTTTGCTCAACTTTTGTTTTTGTGGTACTGGGGATTGAACTCATGGCCTCATGCTTGCTGGGCGAGCACTCTACCATTTGAGCTACAACCCCAGTTCTTTTGCTATTAGTTTGTTTTTCAGATAGGGTCTTGCTCTAACTTTGTCTGGGGTGGCCTCTGACCTTCAGCTAAGACATGCACCAGCATGTCCAGTTTGTTTTGGAGATATGGTCTCACTTTCTGCCTGGCTGGCCTTGAATTGTGATCCTCCAGCCTCTGCCTCCCACGTAGCTGGGATTATAGATGTATACTACCATGCCATGGCCTATGTTGAACTTTTTTTTTTTATTCATATATGCATACAAGGCTTGGGTCATTTCTCCCCCCTGCCCCCACCCCCTCCCTTACCACCTACTCCGCCCCCTCCCTCTCCCCCCCCACCCCCTTAATACCCAGCAGAAACTATTTTGCCCTTATTTCTAATTTTGTTGTAGAGAGAGTATAAGCCATAATAGGAAGGAACAAAGGGTTTTTGCTGGTTGAGATAAGGATAGCTATACAGGGAGTTGACTCACATTAATTTCCTGTGCGTGAACTTTTAAGAGCATATGAGACTGAAGCCTGAAAATGAACAACTAACGTTTTAGGTGAAGAGTTAAAGAAACTCTCAAAGTTAGCTCAGTTTGGTCTAGACAAAATGCTACAGTGGAAAAATCTAGGAAAGCCACTGATTCAGACAGAAGTAAAGAGTCAAGCGGAAAATTTATCAGAATAAGGCATAATCTCTAGTTTCAATTTACTTTGGTGTCTAAAAGACAATGTGTATAGAAATGACCAATCATGCACTGAGACAAGACTGACCAGCTACATCAAGGGAGAAAACAGGGGAGAGGGTAGTATTAAGGAATTATACTAAGAGATCAAACTAGGGACTATTCCAAAACCTGAATGTTAACTAAATTCAGGGGAATGGAAGAAAATTCAATCTGGTTCCAGTTTTCTATTTTCTATAAAATTTGAGGTAGATATGTGAGATGGGTAGAAAAAAGGTTCTGTTTTTAGCTAGGATTTTTTTACTACCTTATGTGACCATATGGTAAACCAGGATGTCACCCATCACTACCTTTCTTCTTTTGTTAAGTTTCATAGGCAGTAACCATAAGTATTATGAAACACAGCCTGACACATGCTAAAAGTCAGGGCAGATTCCAGAGGACAGCAGGAAGAGAGAACCTCATCCCAGAGGTCCCTCCTGAAGTCTCAGCTCACCTGTGTGAAATTGATTGGTCTGTCTTTGGTAATACAATCAGCATATTTGCAGGCAAACATCCCACAATCACTTCCATTCATCTGCTGTGGAATTTCCTGAAAGACCAACAATAACAGGCAACATCTTTGCAAGCTTCTTTCCTTCTTAGATAAAAAAGGAGAACCAAAGGATAAAAATTTTATATTCATGAAATGTACCTGGCTTTTTTTGCTGAAAAGCTGCCAGCCATTGGTGTCAAACTCTTTCCTTTTCTTGTCAATGCTTTCTTGCTTTAGGTATTGCCTAAAGGTATTGAAAGAGAAAAAGATGACTCGTGGGGAACTTTGATGACAGTTGCTACCTTAAGAATGGACTAGCAATCAGGAAGAGATACTTCTGTACTTCCAAGAAAAACAGTATATAATGCTGGGCAGGGAATCCTTAGACTGCTAAAGTTTCCTTAGCAGCTAAGCCTGACTCCCAAGACGCCCACAATTAAGCCACTCTGTGAACCTGAGGGACATGATCACTGCCTCTAATAGTCAGGCTTCTTTGACCTTCTATTCCTCCTGAGGAATAGATTTTTGATTCTTCTCTTTGATTTATATGGTTCTTTAGAACTCAATCTAATGAATAAAAATGATTCTCTAGTAGTATCAAGGTAGGCTTGGTTCTCCTGTGTGAAAATGTAGTCAAGTCAACAATTTAGTAAGTGCAAACCTCATATACAGCACTCCTTTTAAGTGCAAACTACCAGAATCACCATTCTGGAACCTACCTCTTCCTGGTCATTAGAGTGGTAAAGAGAGGAGCAGGTGTTTTGGAAATATGAACACACGTGGGGTATAAAGAGATGTGCATTCTGGTTCCCAGGTAAGCCACTAACAAGTATGACCTAGGCCTTGTTTCTTCATATGATTTGATTAAATGATGTCTAACCAGTGACTATATCTCTTTCCATATATCTATTCTATATTTTAGTGCATTAGGGAATTAATTGCCCCATTAAGGCTATTTTTGGTACTATTACACTATCTTCCTTTAGATTTAAAGTATCTACTCTCACTTAATATGAAGATTTTGTTAATCACTCTTCAAATAACTAAGTTTAACTGCTGTAAAAACAGCACATATCCAACACCAAACTCTTCCGTCCTCAACTCCCTACTTACAAGAGTATCTTGCAGGCTTCATTGTTTATTCCACCCATAGAATCATAATAGGTAATATTCTTCTTTCTAAAATCCACAACCTGGGGATAAGAAAAAAAAAAATCTGTTTATTAAGTGAAGCAAATTGGCTTCTCAGTTTTCTCCCCCCTTGGCCCTTGGACTTCCTGTGAAATTGAGAGAAGTTTGACAACTATTTTGCATTATATTATGCTTAATCTGCAGAGGTAAGAACAGTGAGGAATTATTTACACAGAACAATGCTGGGGGGCTGGTCAACTGGTGGAGCCATTATTGGCTTGTAATCTTTTTCTACTGTCCAGTTTCTCCCTCGGCAGGGTGGGAAATAGTAAACAAATGACATGTACTTAAGATAATGGTGAGTATCTCAAGATCATTTCTACAGTTTCAGAAAGATAGTGAAAAGATTCTGGGTTTTGTTTTGCTTTTCATTTTATTTTTTACTGGCCTAAATTTATTACACATAGTAAGGAGTTTCATCATACGTTTCCATATGTGTGTGTGTGTATACATATATATATAGATATACACACTTTGATCTTTGATCATATTCACCCCCTCTATCACTTTGTCTTATCCCTTTTCCTCCCTCCTGCTTTTTCCTTATCCTCATTTTACTTTCATGACCTTGTTTTTTGTTTTTTGGTGGCACTAGAATTTGAGCTCAGGGCTTCTTGCTTGCTAGGCAGGTGGTCTACCACTTGAGTCACTCCACCAGCCCTGTTTTTGTGTTGGGATTTTTGAAATAGGGTCTCTCAAACTATTTGCCTGGGCCAGCTTCGAACTGCAATCCTCCCTAATCTCTGTCTCCTGAGTAGCTAGATCATAGGCCACAGGCACCCAGTATGACTTTGTTTTTTTTGTTTGGGGTTTTGTTTCTTTACCTTGAGATTTTACGCCTTTTAAAAGTAATTCAAAACAGAATGCAAAACAAATTTTATTAACACATTAATGAATCTGTGCGACTAATTCATCCATGATCTGAGAACCATAAAAAACATTAAATAACCTCATATACAGGCAAGTTACAATAGGCAGAAAATATTAGTCACAGAATCTAAGTTGGTAGCATCATGTCACTTTTCCTTCCCACACCTTGCCTCAAGGCTGACTAGGTACCTTATAACTTCCTTTTAAATATTTTCAGGAAAGAAATTCCACAGTTTTCTTCAAAGTTTAAGTATCTTCCACTTAGACAGGAAGTTCATTGACTTTTAGCCAATCTACTACTACTAAACACAACTCTTCCATAATCAAGTGAAGATGTAGAGCTGGTTCTCATGATTCTTCTGTGTGTTTATGTACATTTCTTTTATTATCAAAAATAATGAAGGTACTCACAGCTAGACACCAGTGCACACCCAAGTGAATGGGCACCAGAAGAATGTCAACAGAAAATACATCCACTTTCTTTGTCCAACGCTTCACTGCCTGATAACCAGCCGTTTTTAACTTAGTGAAGAAAAAGGTGTTAAATGCATGTACACTTGGCAATCCCTTCTCTTTACTTCGTTCCATTAGCATATTCATGTAGAAATTGATGATCTGTGGGAAGAAATTATGCATGTTAGAATAAACATGTAAAACAGTTGTGTTCTATAGGGAAAAAAAGCAGTTACTATATTGAATAGTATGTTATTGTTTCATAATCAATTCAATTAAGACTTCAATATCCAAGAGCCTCATGTTCCTATATTAACTTCTGACTAGAAGGGATACAGCTAAGGTGGTTATAAGAGTCAAAAGGAAAAAAGATCATACATTTATCATGGAGTTGAGAATACAAATGGGTAGATACTGGCCATACATGTAGAAGACTGAGGGCTAAATCAAAAGACAAGAGATTGAGAAGGAAGGGGTGTTAGAAGGTGAAGCTTAGAGAAAAGGGAAGGAAAGGAGTGTCAGTATTTAAAAAGGCACATTAGCAGCTACTTTAATCTACTGGAACTATGTGAGCAACTGGATTCCAAGTCCAGTTAAAAGTCTAGTGCTAATAAAGCTAAGATCAAGAGTTCAAACCTTACTTATAGGAAAGTTACCTGGTTTTGTAAAAAGAAAAAGTTCTGCTCCATGGCTAAAGACTGCCTTTTCAGTCTCATTAGCCACACTGCAGAGGCAAACTGTTTTGGTCTCAAGAACTAAGTGACAGGAAAAATCATCAATCATACTGGAAAAACACCCACACACTGACAGCAGTGCAGTAATGTCACCTTTATAGAGGCAGACTAGGACAAAAACCTAGAAGTCAAGTCACAAACACGAAGGATAAAGTTCTTCCCCACAATCTATATGCCTAGCTGTCTCGTTTTTGTTGATTCCATTTACTTCTTCAATATCAAGTGTGAGTCAAAGAAATTAAAATGCTTGACAGAGGAGATATGTGATTCTTTCTGTTAATGAAACAATGTTTTCTCCAGTAATGACTATGTTGTCTATGGTTCCTTTAACTTCAGGACTCTCTGATACCAAAGCTTGAAAATTACTGTGTCAGAAGTTATTGCATACTTACTTCATGTGGCCAGCTGAGGACAGGCCAGTGTCTGTCAACTCCAAGGAATGAATGGGTTGAGCCACAGCTTGGAAATATGACTAAGAAAACAGGCACATTTTCAGAATGTTTTTTGAGGAATGGGAAAATGTCCTTGTCCTTTGACAAATATTTATACACCAAGATGCCAGAGCAGTGAGCTATTGCCCAAACAGTAGGCAGCTACATACTGGGTAGGGAGCAGGGAACACTGCCAGGAACAGAGCATGGTCTAGACTAGAGAAAAGGCCTATAGATGAGGATGCCTAGGCAGCTGCAGGGAAACCGCACTCCCCATGAGGTAGAGCTCTGAGGCAGAAGGAGGCTAGGTCTAAAGTAAGACACTGTTCTGCCTGTAGCTCTGACGTTTGAGCAATAGGCAGAACAACATATGAGCAAACGTTTGAGCAGGTCCAATGACTCAGGCTGTAGCCAGTTCTCTGAGTTGTGTGTGATGTTCCAAAGCTAACTGGTACTCAGTGTTTTAAACAATCAAAATGAATCAAGGACAATTCGAATGGCATTATTTCTGTGAGAAGGGGTAGTATTGGGGTTTGTGCTTGCTGGGCAGGCATTCCTCCACTTGAGGCACAGCCCCAGCCCTTTCTGCTTCAGTTATTTTTGGGATAGGGTCTCGCATTTGTGCTATGCAAGCCTGGACCTTGATCTTCCTATGTAGCTGGGATGATAGGTGCACACCACTATACCAAACTACTGGTTGAGATGAGGGTCTCGCTAACTTTTTGCTAGGGCTAACCTCAAACTGCAGTCCTCCCAATTTCTGCCTTCTGAGTAGCTGGGATAATAGGCAGAAATCACCATGCCAAGACTTTTAAACTTTTTTGAGGAGCAGCAATGGGATGTGAACTCGAGTCCTCATGCTTGCTAAGCAGGCACTTGCCATTTGAGCCATGTTCCCAGCCCTTAGTATGGTATATTTTTCAAATCTAGGTTTTCAGTTTAACTGTTAGAGGATAATGGTGCTTAAGGATGCATCTAGGTTTGTGAAAACAACTACTAATGCAGGGGAATCTGCCCAATAAGCATAGATTTCTATGCACTAACTACATTCTCTAGAGAGAGAGAAAATTAGCCAAAAGGAACTGATAAGATTCCTCTGGCATTCTATCCATCACATAAGGTTAGCCATGTTATTACAAGTCTCTCTCTTCAGTTTTTCAGTAATTACTCTGTCCAAATGAGGAAAATTGCCATAGTTCAGCCAAGATACAATCATACCCAAAATAAGCTAGAAGTTAGAGAACAGAAAAAATCACACGTCATCTCACAGATGAGGGCTGAAGATGAAGGAAAGAGAAATGAGAGAAGGGATCACAGTGTTCAAGATGAAAGAGACATGATGGTCACAGCATTTGCTTGTACTCTGTGAAGACAAAGATCCTCCCCTTACCCATTGGCAACAGCTCTTTCTGTACACAAAATTCTTGAAGCTCCAGCAAATCTTTAATTGAAACAGAGGGCTAAAACTAGATTGGCCCTATGTTTTATTGTTTGTCTTGCCACTATACCACCACCTAAAGACTACTGCCAATATTAGTATACTTGTCACCCTTTCTGGGGCACACATTTGCCCGTTTCCCTCTATGGTGTCTCGTACATAAGGAATTGCCCTTCCTGCTGCCTTCACAGCCATGGCCATGAGCGTCTGCTTGTCTGTGCAGTCCTGTTTGAGAATGGGAGGGTTGTTTATAGTGCCTTTGTTCTTTTTTTAAATTTTATTTGAAGAGCTGCCATGCCGAATTAAATAAAGCTTCTGTTTAAAGGAAAAGTCCACCATGTTTTCAAACTAAGGATTCAATCTCCCTCTCTCTCTCTGTTACTACAATGACATAAATGACAATCACTATTTGTATCTTCTTTCTTGCCCAGTAAGCAATCTAAATTTGTTTTCTCATGCATCTAGAAGTAAGTAGGTCTCTAGCAGTAAAGTCTTGATGTTCAACTCTGCCATATTTACGTTGAACTCGCTTAGGAAAATATGCTCTATTTGTCTTTGGCATGACAGTACTCCCAAATAGAAACCAAGACAACTTTTAGGGGGACAAGTCATTTTTCCAGTTTTACTTCTTGACTTTATTCTGATTTTTAAATTAAATTTGTGTTTGGCAACAAAAAAACTGGAAAGACTAACCAAACAGCAGCATTTAACTATTATGGTTCAGAAGGTCATGTGATCCTAAGATCTTGCCTAATAATATTATAGAAACCAAGAAGGCAGGCTTCTCTCACTGTACATAGAATTTTTCTCACATGCAAACTCAAGCAAGAAATTATTCAAATTGCTACAAGAGTTTTAGAGAAAGACAGGCAGGCAATACCTACTTTTATGGAAGCATTTATAGAGAAATTCTCCATGTGACCTCACATATATCCCTGGTTTACCAGGGCTAGTTCAATTAAGAAACACTTCAAAGAGGTAAACTTCAACAATGTGGAAGTCCAATGACTCATGTTAGAAACACAAGCACTTTTACTCTGACAGCTTTACTTCACTCAATGCAGTGTATAACATTTGGGAGCCCAATCATATTCACTTAACTAATTTATCTCATTTTATCTACTTTTTTCCCTTCATTAGCAATCAGTTTTTATTTGCCAGTGAAAACCTATTCCCAGTATTAGTTTTGTCTAGTTGGACTTAATATTTTGTGAGCTGTTTCCTCTCTCAACTTAGCATCACTCAGATTTAACTACTCCTTAGAAAGTTGTAAAGCTATGACCAATACTAATTCCCTATTTCCATGAATTAAAAAATTATAATACTTTTTTAATAAGGGAAAGAAAAATACATTTAATTATTTTGATTTTAGTCTTAGATGTAACTTTTATTTCTGACATCTGATTTTTTTCTATAAGTATATACTAATTGTACAGAAGAGTTTCATTGCGAATTTCCATACATGTACGTAATATAATTTGGTCATATTTTACCGCCTCTATTCTTATTTCCCTTCCTCTTCCACCTCCCTAGTAGTCCCCCTTTTACTTTTATAATGCTCCTTCCCATCCTCCCCACTGCCTCCCTAGCTTCCACAAATGAGAGAAAATATGACACTTGTCTTTGTGGGATTTAACATGATGATCTCCAGTTCCATCCATTTTCCTGCAAATGACACAATTTCATTCTTATTTATGGCTGAGTAAAACTCCACTGTGTATATGTATATGTTTTCTTTATTCATTCATCCATTGATGGGCACCTAGGCTGGTTCCATAATCTGGTTATTGTGAATAGTGCTGTAATAAACATGAGTATACAGTAATCTCTATGGTAAGGTGACTTTCATTCTTTTAGGTATGTATCAGAAGTGGTATGACTGGATCATATGGAAGTTCTATTTTTAATCTGAGGAACTCCATACTGATTTTGATAATTCAAATTCCTACCAGCAATGGGTAAGAGCTCCCTTTTCCCTTATTCTCTCTAGCATTTCTTATTTATTTTCTTAATGATAGCCACTTTGACTGGAGCAAGGTAGAATCACTACATGGTTTTGATTTGCATTTCCCTGATGGCTAACAATGATGAACATTTTTTCATGTCTTCATTGACCATTCTTCTGAAAACTGCTCAATTAATTTTTCCATTGACTGATTGGATTATTTGTTCTTCTGGGGTTTAATTTTTTGAGTTCTTTATATACTCTAGATATTAATCATGTTGGATGAATATCTGGCAAAGATTTTCTCTCATTTTGTAGGCTATTTCTTCATTCTATTGATTGTTTCTTTTACTGTGCAGAAGTTCTTTAATTTGCTACAATCCCACTTGTTAATTCATGCTCAATTTCCTGAGTCCTATTCAGAAATTCATTACCTAGGTCTTTTTATCTAAGTTTCCCCTATGTTTTACTATAGTAGTTTCAAAGTTTCAAGTCTTACATTAAGATCTTTGATCCATTTTGAATTGTTTTGTACAGAATGAGATCTAGTCTCAGTCTTCCACATGTGGACAATCCAGTTTTTCTAGCACCATTTGTTTTTTCTCCAATGTATGTTTAGACATTTTTGTCAAGCATCAGATGGCAGTACCTGTGAAGGCTTATTTCTGGATTTTCTATTCCATTGGTCTACATGTCTATTTTTGTGCCACTATCATGCTATTTTTGTTACTATGGCTCCATAGTATAGCTAGAAGTCAGGTATTGTGATACCTGTAATATTGTTTGTTTTTTTTTTTTTTTTTTGTGGCACTGGAATTTGAACCTAGCCTCATGTCTGCGAGGCAGGTGCTTTTATGGCTTGAGCCACTTCATCACCCTGTTTTGTGATGGGTATTTTTTGAGATAGGGTCTCATGAACTATTTGCCTGGGGCTAGCTTTGAACTGTGATCCTTCTGATCCCTGCCTCATGAGTAGCTAGGATTATAGGCATGAGCCATCAGCACCTGGCTCAGCATTGCTCTTTTGTTCAGAATTGCTTTGGATATTTGTTTTTTGTTTGTTTTGTTTTGGGTAGTGCTGGGAATCAAACCCAGTATCTTATCCATGGTAGGCATGTGCTCTACCACTGAGTTACATCTGCCCTCCATTAAATAACTGTTCTGAAAGTTAGAATGTTTGACTAGAAAGCATGTGCTCTTGTTCCAGATCCTGTTTTTTTTTAGTAAAACTCAGGTGACCATGGTACTTTCTTAAAGTCTTACTTCTTACTTTCCCACTACCAATCAAGTAGTAATACCTTCTCAATAACAAGGTTATTTTGATACTAAAAGACACCTCTTTCATCTTAGAGATGAGGCTTGAGAAATAGGTAATTAGTCTGCCTGATTAGCTATGCAGATTCCATCTAAATTCCTTTTTCACTACCCTCTTGTCTTTCATGTTTGGTCTTTTCCTTGCATGTGAAGTTAAAAATAGAGTATCTCAATAAACCAATATTTTTCCACTTTGGAAATAACTGATAATAATATGGGTTTGCAAAGTAAAACAAAACAAAGAGACACATTTGCTTGCTATTTTCCAGTTCATGCAAGTAAGTCAGTAATAAGGAAAAAGTAAAGGAGGGAAAGTAAAGACAGGAAATGCTGCAATTGTCCTGCTTTTCTACTTAGGGTAGGGCATAAAGGGCTGGGTAAAGGAGAAAGAATTTCCAGCCTATAAACATTTAGGTACATGGAATCTACCAACCTGTTCCAATCTATATTCTTACTAATTTTCCACTTCTTCTATCAATTATTGGGAGAGGTGTTGAAAATCTTAAAACTGTAATTATAGATTTATCTGTATCTCTTTTCAGCTCAGTAAGTTTTTGCATGTATTTTGGAGCTCTGTTATTAAAGTGTCCACATATTTAGGTTATGAAGCCATCTTGATGAACTGACCCCCCTTTATCATTATGAAATGTCTCTATCACTGGTCATATTCCTTTACCTTTCTTTTGATTAGTGTTTGCTTGGCATTTAAAAAATTTTTCTATTCTTTATTGTATTCCTTTAAATCTTGCTGATAAGGTAAGTTATAAGCTTTTGAGATTCGTTTCTAAGCTTGGTTACAGTGGGTCCAGAGTAGCTTTTGAGGACTGGTTTGGTCCCACTCCTGAGGCAATTCCCTTATGAGGATTCTATTATATCATATGCCCCCAGACTTAGGAGGTCTTCTACTTTAACTGGTTGGAACATAAATATTCTTGGCACCTGTGAGGTACTGAGATTGTTCTGATTCCTTCTTTCTGGCAGCTCTTTCCCCAGCAGCCCTTCTTCTCACAAATGCACAGATCAGTATTCAGCCAATGACTTGAGGGGAGCCCCTCTGCAGAGGCTCTGCCAGTCCTTCCTACACAACACATACACACCTCACATCTCAGTAACCTGAGGAAACTAAATTATAGAATACATCCTCTTTACTTCCCTTCTCTCAGGGATCACATCCTGTACTGCTTATTATGCAATGTCTGAAAACTGTTGTTTCATGTGTTTTCTTCAATATTCTAGTTAAGTTGAAAGTGTAAATCTTGCCCCTTTTATTCTATCATGACAAGAAGTAAAAGTCTGTTTTATTTATATGCATACCTAAATCATTTCTATTTTTATCTAATGCCTTATAAGAACAATCTTTAGGCCCTGAAAGAAGCAAAAACATCTGGCCATAAGGAGAAACACAAAACTCAAAGCACTTCTCTTCTCAGGATGATTAATCTAGAATTTTAAAGTTTGATGATTATAGAAGTAAAAAATTCATTCTATAGAAATTAATAATTTCTAGTATTGACACCAATTGAAAATGAATTTTTTTTAGGTCTCTCTATGTAGCTTAGGCTGACCTCAAACTTGTGATTCTCTTGTCTCTGCCTCCCAAGTGCTAGAAAGACATGAACCACCATACTCAACCAAAATATTTGTTTCTTGATTGTGACTTTCAATGTACTTTTGCAGTTAATTCTTCCTTTCTTTAACCCTATCCTCCCCTTCCTTTATTTACATACTTTTATTAATAACTAATCTCCTGAGTCACTATAGAAATCACCATCTACAATATCCCTGATTTTATCAGTCTTCTACTTCCTTTTCTATTTTTTCTAAGGTACCCAGTTCCTGCATTTCATGTTTGAGAAGTTTAATTTTCTTAAGTGGCAGTAAAATGCCAATCTTGTCAATCATTAGTCCTTTGAAGACAGAATTTAAACAAATTCACCTATATATAAATCCACTCGTTCAAAAAAAATTATAAATAGGCACTGAGGTCTACTTTTCTCTTGGGAAAGAGACCATCAAAAGGGTAGCCTAATGGCTTTCTGTACATATCCCAAATATAGGATTTCTAGATTTTATTTTCTTTATAAACTAAATCTCATCTTTTTTATTTCCTGGCTCTTATATTCCTTGTTAATGTTAAGAATAAGTACTAACTAGTCACCTTATCTTGGAGAAAGTTTTAATATATCCTATGAGATGGACAGGACATACAAGAAGAAATGAATATTAAAAGTGTCTAATTGAGGGCAGAATAAAATTTAGAGAAGAATAAAATTTGAGTCTTGCAAAGGACTCAGCATTCACAATTGAGGAGAATTATGTACTTTTAAAATGACTATCAGAATTTAAGGCTAATACTTCATGAAAACGCTGGCTTCTCAAAGATAGTAACTTTGAAAGCCTAAAAAGTATGATTCTTTAAAAATGGTGTTTTTAAAAAATAGTTCTCAGACCTATGAACTAGCATCTGCTTTCAAGATTAATATTCAGAAGAAAAGTACTCCCTTACAAAGTTATAGGTAGGTGTGGTATGGATAAAAAAGACAAGGAATCTTTCCTTTCTTTCATCTCCTTTAAATAAAGTAATTTCCATTAACTTTGCTTCTTAAAAAATCCAGTTTGCGATGAGCCCATGGAATGGAAAATATGTCCTTATGAATGCTGCCTCTGTAAGGGATCTCACTGAGGTAACATGTACAGTAAAGAGCAAGAACTCAGCTCATACCCTACTCACTCCTGCCCCCTAGAAGATTTAACATGATTTACAACAAGCAGGCTACAATCCCTGACTTTCTCCTCCATCAGTTGCAGGCAACAAAAAAAAAAAAAAAAAAAAAAAAAGGATCACAGGTTTGATTATTCTTAATTTTCATTTTCCTCTTTGATTTGGTGAGCTAACCCCTCCATTATTTGATTTAATGTTCTAATATGTGAGGAGCCAAAATAAGCCAGTGAGATTTCTCCCAAAGACAGTATAAAACCAGGCATTCCTTACCATTCTCTGTCAAAGACTCAGGGAGTGATGAGTTTCTAAAATTTCTACCTTATGAACTGACCAGCAGCAGAGACAATGGGGCTAGTCCAGCTGGCTCCAGAGAAAATCAACATTTTAGGCATGATATATAGCTCCTAAGCGCTATACATCTGATTCTATCACAGATCCAATTTAAGATTCTGAGGCAGTATGATTTAATCGATAAGACCCAATGCTTGAGTCTGAATCTTGGCTCTGCTACTTACTAGCTACACTACTTTGTAAGTTTCTTAATCTTTCTATACCTTGTTCTTTATCTATAGAATGGACATGATAAAACTATAGTACTTCCAAGGGAAGGTGACTCTTACATGAGTAGAACACATAAAGCATTTATAATAGTTCCTAATGAGCTAAGTGTTGAACAGGTGTTCTAATATTATTATTTGGAAGGATCTTAAGCATACAAGAATAGCTATGGATATCTAAAATATCTAATGCTTACTATACTGAGCATATGAAAATCTTCTACAGCTGTGAAGCTTGAGTACACAGAGAAGATCAGGCAGCGATGCTCCTAGTGAGCCTAAGAAAGGAGTTACTTAGTAAAATACACCCAAATCCAGTTCTGTTCTTTTATGGTGAAAACATTTTTCTGACAAGAACAGGCTTCTATAAGTTTAGGAATAAGATAGGTCAGTCTAAAGATCATAATGTAATTAATACTCTTAATTGGAATTGAGAGGTGAAGGCCATATACAAAATAATGCAACTTTTTCAATGTCAGTTTAAAAAATATCATGTATAAATGAAGGTTATTTTAGAAAGCTTATCACTTACAATGTACATGACCTAAAACAGGTGGGTACAGAAAGGGAATTAGAACTGGATTATGGTGTAGAAACCCCAAAGTATTTCTTCTTGCTGCAAAATGGTCAGCTATCAAGCATTTGCTCAGAAGATGTGAACTGCAGGCCAGGTGCCTTAAAGAGAACAAAAATACTAACCAATGCCTTCTCCCTTCAGCGTCCAAATCTTTAATACAAGAAAAAGTAAATTCAGCAATTCTAGACTTTAAGGTACATAAAAATCACTTGAGATGTTGGCTAAAAGGCATCTCTCTACCACATTCCCTCATACTTAAGAAATAAGAGGCCTACGGTAGGTGAATCTGATGAGGGTATCTGAGGACCACATTTTGAGGAACAGTGAGATACTGTTTTGATTTAGTTTTCAATTAATGTTCACCTACTACTTGTACATAAAAGATAAGTGCAAGATTACCTCATCATTTAGCCAATTTAGATGGTTTAGAGTTTGAATATCTTTCCGTGTAATGGTCAAGCGGAATGCTTCACTGAGAACTTCATCTTGGTTCCCGTTACGAAATACACTCTTTATTTCCTTCTCCATTTCCTAGTTAAAACAAGATATCAGAGATCAAACACACATAGTTTCAGACAAACCAGATTTCTCATCAATCTCCACACTATATTTACTGTTAGTCAACTGTTTATCAGTTTACTCCTATCTAACATTCTGGTTTCTGTTCCTTACCAGTAATATCCCTGGTTATTTCCTTCCATTCTGTCTAGTGCTCTCTTCTCTTTATCAAAAGAACATTTGGATCCTTGTTTCCTATTAATTTCTAAAGTCTGAAAATAACCTTTTGCTATTAAATTTGCTAAGCCTATGAAAAAACCCCTTTGTTTTTCTGGTCTAAATGTTTCTGAGAAACAGAATCTCCCACGAAAGGTAGTAATGAAATACAATTAGTGAGTTTTAGATACTATAATCCAAAAAAAAATTTTGTTTTACTTGATTAAATGTAAAATACAGACTCCAATACAACTATAATAAATGTGTTATATTTAGCAGTTATTTTTTTTTTTTCCTAATGGTACTAGGGATTGAGCCTATTATCCAGAGCTTTGTATATACCAGCCAAATACTCTACCACTAAGCTAGATCCACAGCCCCATAAGTTTTTCAAACAAAAATATGGATTAAGGAACAGACTTGTTAAATGTACACAGACTTCTGTATATTTTCCAAATTTTCTACAATGGGTATATCTCAGCTTATAATCTGGTACCAAATAATTGCATATGTGAGGCTGGGGGTATAGTTCAGTCATAGAGCACAAGGCCCCAGAAATCTGATCCCCATAACTGCCAAAAAAAATTATTTATGTGCATTAAGTAAAAATGCATATGAAATGAAACATAAAATTTAATGCTTTTCCACTGAAATTGCTAAAAACCACTAATTCTTTTTCAGCAATTTTCAATAAACCCTTAAAAGTAAAGTGAAAATTGGTGTAGACTACAAATGAAAGCAGACATATGCAACAAAATTTAAATACCAGGTGTTCTATTGCTTTATGTTTGAACCTGTCCAAAGCATTCTTGCTAAACATGTTTGCTGATATAGGAATTTATAGCATGTACTTTACCTCTGTAATTTCAGGAAAGTCATCTTCACTATCACTTAATTTATGACTTTTTTTTTCTATTTCTTGGGCAATTGTAACAGGGATCTCCTTTTCAAGAGGTACACGAAGATGCAGTTCTACTGAATCATGTACTGAATGTTCCTGTTCCTGCAATCTCTGGAGAGAAAACTTCAGAATTAGTGGGATAAAGCAATCTACTACTTGGCTTATGTAAACTGAGTAGTTCTGGCTGGATAGACCAAGAATACATACTACTTATCATAAAATGCTAGGCTACCATACAATACTGCAATCATTAACAACAATTATCCAAATTCAGATAACTTCTAAAATAGTTTCAACTTGGATATGCTACTTATAATTTTGTTTTGGTTTTTTACCTGGTTTTGAAGCTGTAATGCCAGCGCTTTCTGCTCTTCAATTTGGCGCAATCTTTCCCGTGCTCGAGAATCATAAACACTAGTCCTAGAAAATGAAAAGTGACACAAATATAGATCACCCTTTAGCATGAAACACATTATTGATACACACTGAGTATTAAATATAAAGAACCCTCACACTGAAAGTCCAAAATCTTTACACTAATTTAAAGCTCACATTTACATTTAAAACACAGAGTAAACAACATGGAGTTACTAAAATTATTCTACCACTTTTACTGAAATGATTAAATATACTAGTGTGCTCCTCTGCGTGAACAGATTACTTTTGTGGGTATTTTAAATGTGTGTTTTTTTTTTTTTTAACATGCTTCTAAGATTGTGGTCAAAGTGAAGCTTCATTCTAGAAACCCAAAACTAGAATTGTACACAAAGAAGAAAATAAGATATCAATGTTTTAATTAAAATATTGTATTCTGGATTTCTTTTTAAAGTCATAAAGATCAAGGGGTTTGAAAAACTCAAAGTTCTGGAAACTGGAGACTAAATGATTTCAGTGATTTTTTTCAAACCCCTCATTTATTTTATTTTATTCATAGAATTAGTTTTACCCATGTTAAAATAAGGGCATTTATTTTTCTTTCTATAAAGAGCTAACTTTGAAATATTTTTCCAATTCAATTTAGCTTCAACAGCTGTTATAGATTTAATAAAAATAAAAATAGAAATATCCCAACTCTAAGAGAATTTTAAAAAACCAAGAACTTAAGAGTACAAATAGGTAATTCTTATTGATTAAAAATAATTAGGAACATTTGGCTGTTTGGTTTTGTCTAACTGTAAATAAAGTTACCGAGAAGGAAAAATAATACCAAAAACAAATAACTTACAATTCTTTGATCCATAGCTCTGCCTGGAAGAAAGTAGGACTATAAGTGGGAAAAGAAAAATGAGAAGGCTTATGAGAAAATTCAAATATTTTTTACCAATGAAAGCAATCATTTAAATAGTTTATAAGAGTATTTTACACCTATAGAATAAGTAAAAGGTACAGGACATAAAATAATTGTAACTGAGAATAAAAAAACACAAATGAGTCAAATGCACACACATTAGTTAAAACAATGACCCAAAGGTCAGCAAGAAACTTCAATTTAGCATAGCTCCCAACTTGCATGAGAGATCTTTATGTGAAAGAGCACATCACTTCTCAAGATGACATATTGGGCTAGAACATTCCTCTTCCCAAATGGTTCAGGCTAACAGGCTGATCAGTGATTTAATCATTAATAATGATTAGTGGGCTTTTTTGTCAGTCTGAGTCAAAACATATCTAACCAAATGACAGTAGATACTAAAATCCTCACCCACAAAATATTCCATATTAAATGAGTAATAAGCCAAAGAGGCAAAACAGAGAAACAAGAAACACAAATCCATTCCCAAGAAGAGAGGCCAATGCCAATCATGTAGCACTTGTGGAACCTACATGATTAATTGGCCTAACAGCTGCTTCTTTTTCTCAACCTCTTCATATCCTTGAAAATCCCCAAATAAGGGATCTATCACAGAAACAAATGAAAGAACGGAGACACTTTCTAAAGGAAAACTTTTTAGATACACAGAACAAATAAATAGATCATTAAAACTGGGAATTAAAGAGACCTGGATCTCCTAGAGCTGTTCCCATTGAATGTGATGATTTTTAAGCAAGTTGCCTCATCTCCAAGGCCCCTGGTTTCAAGATGTGTAAAATACGGTGTGATTAAAGTCCCTTACAGTTCTTAAATCTCTACAATCTCTTGCAGTAATAGCAAGAACAAAGGCTCGAAGAGTACCTCTTGCTCCTTAGCCTAACTTTTGAGAATTAGAATTCCAACTTATCCTTACTCAATCTGGCAATGAAAATGTTGTTCTACTGTTTCCTCACTGTCACTGAGGTTAATAAGAGTCTGTTCCTGTTTACACCAAGAACACCTGAAATAACCAGCAAGACAGCCATAGAGATCAGTGGTAGCACTATAAGGACTATTTAGGATGTGATACTAAACACAAATGAATACAAAAAGATGTTTATTACATGATATAAAGATGTAAAAAAATTATCCAGAATTTCATAATAATGGATGTTACTTAAATTTCTCTGCTTCCCTTATTAAAATACAAACTTGATGAAGATAAAGAAATTTTGGTCTATTTGTGAACTACTGCATCATCTGCAACTAGAACAGTGCCTGATGCATAGTAAGCACTTAGCATTTGCTAAATAAATGAATAATGCAGGGCAAGTACTTCTCTTCAGTGGATTGAGATATCTGCTGGTTCAGGAAAGTCAAATTTTCTTTTCCGAAGAAATTATACATTATAACTCATATAATTCAGGCATGTTAATAATAGCTACAAGTATATTTTGAACATAGTAAGCTCTTACATGTAAAACTTTGCTCTAAGTGTTTTACATATTAGTTAACCTTCATGATAATCCCTGTACTATTTAATGTATAATGTAATATAATATTGAACGAGGAATTACTACTTATACTATATAGAAAAGGAAAATGAGGATCAGAAGGATAATTTGTCTTGGGACACCCAGGATTACAAATCTTATCTGTCCAATTGCAAAGACTGTTCTTCTGGTGTTAAAACGCCTTTCAACAGACTAACACATTAACAAAAAGGACATAATGAGTACTTGGGTTACTCAGAGAGCATTTCAGGATCTCTAGGAAGTTCTTTTATTTAGCAAAGATTTATTTACTGAGCACCCTTCATATACAAGGCACTATGACCAACAGTGGATGATAAGTGCAAAGACATTAGTAATGAACAAGGTATAGGGATGGATAGAAAGATTAATGTTATATAAGGAAGTCAGAGAAATCTTCTCAGAAAAATAATATGTGGATCAAATCTTGAAAAGCAAAATAAGAGTTAACCAGTGGACAAGGAGAGAAAGGACATTTCAGGCAAAAAGATCAGAATATATGATGGGATTAGATATGAAACAGCATGTCATATTCTGGGAAGTAAGTGTAGATCTTCATTGTAGGAACTTAATTGTGAGGCTGTGGCAGGAAATATCTAAAGCTTAGAATGAACAGGAGAGCTGCAAAGTAGTAGTGGAACTATGATAAGAAACAACATTCTATGATCTCTACTTTTCTAATGGAAAACTGATATTATCATCATCCTGGCAATTGAATTGCCAAAACCACATGTGGAAAAGATATAGCAATTCAAGTAGTAACCTATTTGCTTTACAGAGGAAGAAGTACTTGATACTTCCCAGAGAAGTGAAGTTTCATATAGAAGATCACATTTGAATTGAGACTTAACAGATAAGAAAGAGACTGCTGCCAGATAGACAAGTTGAGGGAGAGAGGACACTAAAGACAGAAAGGACACTAATGAGAAGGGAAAAAAAATGCACATATTCACAAACTAAAAACAGTCCAGCATATCAAAATACATGGAAGAGTCTCAGTATTTTCATGGCGTCCTCTCTCACTTCCATTATGTCTGCTCAGATGGTACCTCATCAGAGTCTTTTCCCAACCACCATAGATAAACAGTACCTCCTAACAACAGTTTATATATTACCCCACTTTATTTTTCTCCACAGCACTTATGCTTCACCAGACATATGCTTATTTGCTTACTACTTGTCCCCTACCACTCTGCTCAACTAAAATAAAGCTATTTGAGAGCAGAGACTTCATTTTATTCATCACTTTTATCCCCAATGTCTATACCAATACATAGCACACAGTAGGTTCTTAATAAGTACTTATTAAAGGAAAGAAATGAGCAACAGAATGTGAGGCCTGTGAAGAAAGTGCTTTATTTATCATAGAAAGGAACTTGGGCATTTAATTCTACGTCTGATAAGGCACCCTTGAAGGAGTCTAATAAATGCTCACTGAATTCCTTTAATGAATGATCAAATGTGAATTTCAGATCATTCTCGTTGCAGCATGAAAGACGGGCTGTTAGAGAACATGGTATGGCCAAAGATGGAATGAAGAACAAAATGAAATCTGGAGGAAAGAAGACTGATTAGAAAGTCACTAAAATAATACAAATAATGGATGAAAGAGGTTTGAATTAAAGCAGTTTTCTCTTTTTTTTTTGGTGGTGCTGGGGTTTGAATTCAGGGCCTATACCTTGAGCCACTCCACAAGCTCTTTTTTGTAAAGGGTTTTTTTCAAGATAAGAGTCTCATGAACTATTTGTTCAGGCTGGCTTCAAATTGCAATTCTCCTGATCTCTGCCTCCTGAGTAGCCAGGATTACAGGCATGAACCATCAGTACCCAGCTTATATTATGTAACTCCTAGTGAAAAAGTATGACCAAAGAAAAGGAAAATAATGTATTAAGAATGACCTTTTGTTGAAGTAGATCAAGTGATCAAGAGCACCTGTACCTGCCTAGTAAATGTGAGGCACTAAGTTCAAACCCCAGCTCAGTACCACAAAACAAACATAAGCCCCCACCCACACCACCAAAAAAAAGACCTTCTACTTCTAAGTTTACCTGGGAGTTGGAGTCTGACAATCTTTCACTTTGAGTAAAATCACAGAGTCTGATCCTAAACAAAGAAACAAGAGTATTTCATTAGTAATAATAAAATTCCACTCAGTTATATTTCCTAAGCGTTTCAGTTTAAGTTACTAAACTCTGTTATATTCTTTTTCTACAAAAATAACATAGCTTAAGGACAAAGATAAGATGGAAGAGAAATAAAGGCAGGTCTGTTTTCACTGAGACAAGAACTAGGTCTTAGTGAAGAGCTTTGCCTCACAATTAAGGAAGTCAGTGAGAAATATAAGCATATCTGCCCTTCAGCATCTACTCTGGGTTGTGCTTCCTCCTTCTGTTTCTGGGGAATAAGAACATGCCAGGATTTCTTACAAGCCTTGAGCTCATGATGTACCACGAAACTGAATTAAGTGAAAGGAAGGGAAAGAGGGGAAACGCTATCATTCTATCATTCATTTTCTGTGTCAAACACTCATCAAGGACAAGAATCATGTCCTTCTAAAGTGCAGTGAGTAGAATCTCACTTAGAGGAGCTATTAAATGGTACAAGAAAAGTAATTAAGCTGTGCAATGTAGTATATTTGTTGTAGTCTGGTTTTATCTCAGAATATGCCATACAAAGTATGTTTCTAAAGTTAAAGGATTTTTTTTTTTTAAAAGATAGTTCTCAATAAATCACTTCATGAACTATAATACAGGATGCCACCAAAAATTTTAATCAAGTGAGAATTTTCAGAAAGTGACAAGTAGATTTAAAAAAATAAATAAATAAAATGAATTGAGGAAGGAGGGGAGAACCTTAAGAGGCTGGTACTCGAACCACCAAAAGATCCTTAATGTCTAACCACTTAATCTAAAATTTATTTTAAATTACATAACTAAATATATACCCTAAGTATATGTATAATGCATACTAAAAACTGCAAACAACTGCCATAACAGAATCTTAAGAAACACCAATGTTTAGAGACTGAATACTTTGGTTAGTTGAAAGTTAAGAAGGAAACTCTTTTTGTTTCCAAAATTTGCTGATAACCATTCTAAAATGCACAAACCTTCTAGCAAGCTTAGGTAAGTGTTATATGATAAACACTTGCACTTCAGTACTTATTTGATGTTTTAAAACTCCTAGAACTCCAGAGAATTTCATTTATTTTGTAAAGTAATAGAAACAGGAAGAGTGCTGAAGTAATTGGGGTGAAAGTACTGTGACTCTAGGCTCTGCCCAGGAATCATCTGAAAATAAAATATAGTATCAAAGCATTTGCATGTAAGAAAGAAGATTATCTTAAAGAAGGAAGGAAACAAGGGAGGGAAAAATGAAAAAGAAAGCATATATTTGTAGCTTTAGTTTCTTCATGGTATGGTTAACTGAATTATATATATTTAAAGTCTTGTATGTGTTGCTCAAGTTATGCATGCACCACAATGTTGCCTGTAGTAGATTTAATAAACAGTTAACTGGCTGTTAAGATTAAAAATCTATGATTTCATTTTTACCTTCAGATTGTGTATTTGATGCTGGTAAGTTATCTGGCTGATGTGGAATAGAGTGGTGACGGTGGGGTTGATGGCAAGGGTCAGAATCTTTGGATCCAAATGCAACCACATCTGGGGTATGTGACAACAGGGAATATGCACTGTGGGAAAGCTGTTCCTGGGGAGTTAAAATGCTGGCAGATCCAGATGATGAAGTATCAGAGCCAATGATATGAGATGCACAAGAGTTTCCATTTTTAAACAGTGAGTCTTTCAATGTATTCTTACTGGAACTAAGACATCGAGATCTAGCAAGAGAAGAATACAGTTTCAATATCAAATAACAAATTATAACATTAAATTTATCTGAATGATGCTTTTGTGACTCACAGGTGTAAAGGAAAATGAGTGGTGGGTTTGGCTACAGAGAACTGTTTCCCTGTAACCATCTGTAGCAGCTGTCTGTAGATCTCTCTTTCTTCTTCTTGAACTGTCTATAAGAGAAAAAAAAAAAAAGATCTCAAACACATCCAATGAGGCAAGTATTTCTCGAATTAGCATCTAGATGGGATCCCAGAAGCTCTGCCAAAGTTTAGAGTCTTGAAGATAAAAATGGTACACTGAAGATATTCTAGGAAATTACTAAGTGTGCAAAAGAGGGGTTGAGTAAAGCAAATCCCAGACAGCATGTTTCAGAAAATTATGAAGCATATACTTAACTAATAGAGTAGAGAAGCTTATAGGTTATGAAACCAGGAGGTCAGGAAGCAATTACCTAATTGTCCAAATGATAATGAATCCCAGAAGCAAAGCAATTGAGGACTCTTTTAAAGAAGGATTCCAACAAATCTCTTGTGTCCTAATGCCTCTGAGAAAAGTCTCAAGAAAGTAAGCAGAACATGTGTTAGAGGAGGATATCTTGTCAATAGTTTCCTGTTCTAAGGGCAAGGATTTTCTACAGACGGTATTCACCTCCAACATTTATTTTCTTAATTTTTTGTAAGTCCCAATAATAAATTTAAAGAAAACTACATATTTATGTTCCAGTCACTAGCGATAATGCATTGGATAAAGTTACTGACCTCATGGAGTCTGTATGAGTTAAAGAAAATTAAAGGAAATAGAAAGTATTGAAGTGGGGGAACAGCAGGAGCAGATACCATTATAAAAAGGCATTATTTCAGCAGAAACTTCAACCAAGGGAGAAAGTCACAGAAATAGATGAGTAGTGGGGATTAAGGAAGGGGGAGGCGGCACAAACAATGTATACACATATAAGTAAATGTAAAAATGATAAAATGAGAAAAGAAAAAAAAAGAAATATATGATTAGTCCAGATAGAACAGCAAATGCAAAGCATTAAGAAAGGAATGTGTTTGATGTATTCTAGTAGCAGTAAAGTCAGTGTGAATGAAAAGAAATAAGATCTCTTAGCAGAGAAACAGATTACATAAGGATTTGTAACTTCTGAAGCATGTACTCTACACAGATCCCCTGAAGTAATGAGCTGTGTTCACTAAAGAACACGTCCCAGCTTTTTTTTTTTTTTTTTTAACTTGTATACTGCTTAATACAGCCACCAATCTTCACAAAATAATTTCAAACATTGTGCTAGGGTTAGCTACATCTTACACTGTGACATTTCAATATGTGCATAAGCATGTTACTCAATTATAATTGTTTGTTAAAACCAGAATGAATTAAGCAACTAAAGACAAAAGTAAAGAGACACTAAGTTTCCTTAAGTCTTTTGTTGCCACACAGTAAATTGTAAATTACATTGTTAGTATAATGTTACTCATTTACTAGAATATACATTTAAGCTGTGAGGCATGACAGTTCCCTATGAGAATGAACTCTCTTTAAACTTGAACAGGTGAGTGTTAAGAATTAATTGAGCATTTGGTAGAAGAATGGACCCAAAAAGATGGATTGTTGGGGGATGGGGGGGGAAGGAACCTTGCATTGTTCTATGTAAAAAAAAAATAAACCCCATTATTTTATTGCTAAAACATTAATATCGTACCCAAGATGACAGTGACATCCTTGTATCTGTGATTGGCCCTCACTGCTTCCTTTTGCCTATGTTAGCACCTTTGTTCCCACCATGCCCCCTTAAGGGGACTTTCCTCCACAATCTCCTTTTCTATTGTTTGTGAAGAAAATGTTTACAGTATTGGGCAGGTACGTCAGTGATAGCTCAAAGATAATGATTTGAAAAAGACACTTCCAGGTATAAATTAGTATCACTAACCTAATATTTATTTTTGGCTATTCTACTGAAAAGAATGAGTACTTGAGAAATAAAATTAAAAACCATAACTAAAATAACTGTTTCTATATTAAAATCTAAAACTGACATAATTATTTAAGTAGAGAAGAGAATGAAGCATCATAATAGGTTATTAGAGTGTAAGAGAAATCTTTGTTGACCAACTCAATAGTGATCTTCTATATACAGGAAAGCTGTGTTATCTGGCATTTTACTAACTGGAATTTTTGCATATCCCTCAATGTAAATCTTGACTCCATTTTTCCAGTATATCAAAGAACCTAACCAACATACACTAGGGTTTTCATACATACACTAGGTTGTTTCTAGGAGTGGTAAAATGACAGAAAGGAAGGGAAATCAGACCACCTTAACATGAAAATTAACTTTTTAACTTCACCAAGCATTTTAAGTTCATTTTCACTGTCCCACCAAACTGAATTTCAAAAAAGTGTTAACCATATTATCAAATCATGCACAGGAAAGCAAAGTACATAATGTAAGAGAGGTTACTTTGCATAGTATTTTTTGGTATTGAGGAAACGGGAAAAAAATTATTCCCTTCACATAAAGACCTCAAGAAAACAATGAAAAAATCTGAAATAGAATCTCTAGATTCTCTAAAGATATCAACCACAGAAGTTAAACATTTTTTTTTTCTTTTAAGGGTAAGATGGGGGATTAGATGTTTCCACCACTGAGAAACAGGCAATGCACAGAAAAGTAGAAAACAGTATGCAACTCCAACGATGGGGAACTCAAAGCCACAACCATAAGGTAAGCCTGGAGAATGCAGCAGTTCTGGTGACAACAGATTATAGTGTTAAGTGCAGGAAAACCCCACCATTCTCACAAGCCTTAAGTCCAGTGCTGGGTTTTGGTCTGATAGTGACTCCTCATGCATGGCGAGTTCCCATTAGAGAAGAAATCTCTTACACTGTTCCCCATATCCTGGAGTGCTGCAGTTCAAGGCATCATCTTGAGATGGAGCATACTGAGCTACTCTGGAGATAATCACAAATCAAGGAGCCTGGGGACACCCTGCCACCATGTCTGGGTAGGCAGCCATGGGAAATAATCACAGAGAGGGAGAGGACTGGCTGCAGATGCACTGAGAAGTTTAATCAGCTCAGGTTGTGGCAAGCAACAAGGAGCAAACTGTCACCTATAGATTACTATAGATTGAGAGCTCTGACCCCACCACCAATGTCTGCTTGACCTCCAGGGCTGTCTTCTTGTTGTACATGGTTTGCTGTGAAAGATCAGGGAGTTCTGAGCCCAAGTCCAGTGAATCACTCAATTTCCAGTTTTCTTTCTCCCCAGAGCAGTTGGCTGCTAGGTAGGATCTGGTGGGGTTTTTCTTGGTTTTTTTTTCTTGCGGGGGTTTTTTGTTTTGTTTTTTTGCAGTACTGAGGTTTGAACTCAGGGCCTCATACTTGCTAGGCAGGCACTCTGCCGTTTGGTGGGATCCTAAAGGACTGAGCTGGTAAGCAGAGTGGTCAGATGCGTTGATTCTCCCCCTTTAACGCAAACACAGGGCTCTGTTTGCTTCCTCTACTACAACATATCTGGGTGACTCCCTGGGTTTGGGCGTTTGCCACCCCTGTGTACACAAATGGGCGAGGGGGTAAAGTGCTCTAGAGTGAATGGGAATCTGCAGGGCCCACAGGCCATAAAGCTCATTGGGGCCAGCAGCAGCTTCCAGGAAGCCAAGAAGGAAAACTTCAATAGTGAATGCAGTCATGATGCTGATGACAAACCCTTCACTGGCCCTGCCCTCAGCACCCATGCAACACCTACTGGTACAGTGGGAACAAAGAACTACAACAGATCCAGACACAATAATAATGGTGACTTCAATATCTTACTCTCATCAATATAGACAGATCATCAGACAAAAAAAGAAAATTGATCAACAAAGAACTTTTGGTTAAACTGCACCATAGACTGAATGGACTTAACAGACAGCTACAGAATATTCCATTCAACAGCTGTGGAATACACATGCTTCTCAGCAGCTGGTAGAACTTTCTCCAAAACAGATCACATTTTAGGCCACAAAGAAGTCTCAACAAATACAAAATAAAACTGAAATAATTTCTTGTAGCTTATCATAATGGAATAAAACTAGAAATCAACAGCCAGAACCACAGAAAACACACAAACATGTAGAAATTAAGTAATACACTTTGAACTATTAGCGGATCACTGAAGAAATCATGGGGGAATATAAAAATTCCTAGAATCAAATGAAAATGAAAACACAACTAACCAGAATCCTTGGAATACAGGCAAGGCATTTCTAAGAGAAAAGTTCATAGCTATGAGTGCCTACATTAAAAAAAAAAAAATAATCAGAGAGATCTCAAATAACCTGATGTCACAACTGAACTTCTTAGGAAAATAAAAACAAGCCAAATCCAAAGTGAGTAAGTGAAAGAAATAATAAGGACCAATGTAGAATTAATGAAATGGAGATTAAACAAACAATACAAAGGATAAATGAAACTAAGAGTTGCTTCTCTAATTGAAATCATTCCCACTAAAGTCAGGAACGGAACAGGGATGCCTAATTTCCCCACTCATATTCAATATAGTTTTGGAATTCCTAGCCAGAGCAATAAGACAAGAACAAGAAATACAAGGGATTCAAATAGGAAATGAAAAAGTCAAACTATCCCTATTTGCAGAGGATATGATTCTATACCCAAATGACCCTAAAAACTCCACCAAAAAAATCATAAACACTTTTGGCAAAGTAGCAGGATACAAAATTAACAGAAATCAGTAACCTTTCCATATAGCAACAACGAACAGACTGAGAAAGAAATCAGGGAAACAATCCCATTTATAAAAGCCTTGAAAAAAGTAAAATACCTAGGAATAAATTCAATGAAGGAAAAGAATGATCTTTTTAATGAAAACTATAAATCATGGAAGAAAGAAATCTAAGACATCCTCCCATGCTCATGGATCAGCAGAATCAACATTATGAAAATGGTCATACTACCAAAAACAATCTACATGTTCAATGCAATCCCTATCAAAATTCAAATGACGTTCTTTACAGAAACAGAAAAATCAATCTTAAAACACATATGGAAACACAAAAGATCTCGAATAGCCAAAGCAATTCTGAGCAAAAGGTCCAATGCTAGAGATATCACACAATACCTGACTTCAAACTATACTACAGAGCTTTAACAATAAAAACAGCATGGT